TTTTAAAAAACGAAAATATTTTTTCTTTAAAAAAAATGAAAAACGAAAATAAAACGAAATGCTTTAAAAAAACTGAAAAAAAGAAAAAAAAATTTTCAAAACGAAAATATTTTGTTGAAAATATTTTTTTCAGTTTTTAAAAAACAAAATATTTTATTAAAAACATTTTTTTTTCAGTTTTTACAAAAAAAATAATGCTTTAAAAAAACTGAAAAAAAAGTATTTTTTTGTAAAAACTGAAATGTTTTTGTAAAAACTGAAAAAAAAATAAGAATACTTTACTAAATTAGTGGACTACTGGTGCATTAGTTTTATAAAACAAAAATATTTTGCAAAATATTTTTCTTTAAGTTTTACAAAAAGAATAATAATTATTTTTAATTTAGCATTACCTAACGGTCAAAGGGCATAAGTGAACCCAAAAAGTGGATGTAGCGATATTTTTAGCCCAATAAATGGATGAAGGGTATTTATAAACTTTTTCCAATAATTTAAAGACATTTTGAACCCTTTTCCGTATTTTAATACACAAAACTTTGCGGCAGAATAATCACATGAAATTTGTTGTAGTAAATTAATTCCAATCAATTTGCTCCACTTCAGAAACTCAAATATCCTCCTGGAGAAAAAGTTAAAACACATAATGTAGATGGAAGACTGACCGACTCTATTTCACCAACCCAACCCACTAAAATATTCATTAAGTCATATCAGCTGAATATAAAATTAGCCTTCATTCTGTGAAGATGAACAAACTAATTTAACTTCACTATTTTTCGTAATAAATAAATTAACCCGATTCAATACTCATTTTAATTCGGGCTATTTTCACTTTTAACTCATGCCAGAAACTATTTATATTCGGTAGCTAAAAAAGTATATAAAATTTATATAATTTTTGTATATGACATATATAATGTATATATATACACACACAAAAAAAATACATTTTTCGGCTATTATTTTGTGGCTTTTTTCATTTTTACCACGCTAGAAACTATTTACATTCAATAGCCAAAAAGTATATAAAATGTGCATAAATTTTTTTGTATAACATACACAATTATATGTATACAAAAAATATGTATATTTTTCGGCTATTATTTTGAAAGCGGTTATACAGTATCATTTTCCCATTATTTATTTTGAGAACAACTATACATTGTTATTTTGCCTTTTAATTCCCACATAGAAAATCTTCACGATCTAATTATAATTGTTCCATTTTTCAAGTCGCGCTCTTGACTTTGTGGAGTCTTGACTTGTCTCCATTTATCATTAGATAATGACTTACGGTGTAGAAAATACATTGAATTAGTCAAGTGGATTAATTATTTGACCTATGACTGACATTAATGTAACACTACTACTTTGAAAATGACTTATAAAGAGTAGAAAATATGTACTCACCCAATTCTTATTTAAGAGATTCTATACCACAAAAAATCCTGAATGTGTTCAGAAAAATGGAGATCAGTACTTTATTATGGTTTTGGGGAATTGTTTTGCTTGGTTTGGTATATGGTAATTTAGCCTGTTTAGAAGAAGAGAGAATTGCTTTGTTGCATATCAAAGCAGCCTTTAAAATTACTCATTATTCTACCTGGGTAGATAATAAGAAAAGTTACTGCTGTAAATGGGAAGGTGTAAAATGTAGTAACAGTGCTACAATGCAAGTAATTGAACTCTCTGTCCATGGGAAAGACCCAAAACCGAAAACAATAGTACATTTCAATGCGTCTATGTTTTTGCCATTTCAAAGTCTTGTGGTTCTAAACTTGCCTAACAACTACTTAGTAGGTTGGTTTAAAGATGAAGGTATGGATTCTTTGATTGTATTTTGAGAATACTAGTAGAGTACTTGTTTTGGAGGGAGCCTTGGCATAACTGGCAACGTCCATGACCAAGAGGTCACGGATTCGAGCTGTGTAAACAGCCTCTTGCAGAAATACAGAGTAAGACGGCGTACAATAGACCATTGTGGTCCGGCCCTTCTCCGAACCCCGCGCATAGTGGGAGCTTAGTGCACCAGGCTGCTATGTGGCCAGGAGATCACGGGTTCGAGCTGTGGAAACAGCCTCTTGCAGAAATGCAGGATAAGGACCCTTGTGGTCCGGCTCTTCCCCGGACCACGCGCATAGCGGAAGATTAGTGCACCGGGCTACCATGTGACCAGGAGGTTACAGGTTCAAACTGTGGAAACAGCCTCTTGCAGAAATGCTACATACAATAGAACTTTGTGGTCCGACCCTTCCTCCGACCCCGCATATAGTGGAGGACTTATTTTAGTCAATCTGTTTCAACTTAACTCACATGTTCGAGTTTATTTGACAGGTTTTGATAAGTTGTCTGAGTTAAGGAATTTGAAGGTTCTTGATTTAAGTGGTAATAAGTTCAATCTTAGTGTTTTCTCGTCTCTCAGTCGGCTTTCATCTCTCAAGTCTTTAATTCTCAGCGGCAATCCTTTGGACAGTGTGCCTACTAAACCTAGTAAGTACCCAATATATAATTCACTGTTCTTGATTACTTTAATTTAAGTGCTTGAGTGTTGTAGTAGCTTGTTTTCCCGAAAGTTGTTGAATATATTTGTAGAGGGGAGCCGTGACATAACTGATAAAGTTATTGTCATGTGGCCAGGAGGTCACAGGTTCACGTCGTGGAAACATCTTTAGATTCGTAAGATCATAATAGAGTCCCTTTACTTTCTATTATATTAGTCAAGCGCTAGCGCCCTACAACTAGTATAGTATAGCAGAGCAGCCAACTTCAAAGCTTACCTGATTTAAAAAAGAAGTATTATTCAAAAAAGGTACGCAATTCGCCGAGTTCAATTCAAGGTAAGGTTGCATACAATAGACCCTTGTGGTCCGGCCCTTCTCCAGATATCACACATAGCGGGAGCTTAGTGCACCAGTAAAGTTGGCGTAACTGGTAAAGTTGTTGCCATGTGAGGGAGGTCCTAGGTTAGACCTTGGAAACAGTCTGTTGCAGAAATGCAGGGTAAGGTTGCGTACAACAGACCCATGTGGTCCGACCCTTCTTCAGACCTCCACATAGTGGAAGCTTAGTGCACTTCGTTGAATATATCTATAAGTCCATATTATATTACTGCCTAATTTGTACTAGTAGTATCTTTGTATACTTCTCAAAGCTAATTACATTACAGGCTTTAACAAACTCACAAATTTGAGCAACTTGGAAGTCCTTGACTTAGGCTATACTCTCAGAAATCACAGCGATCTGCAATCAATCTTAAGTGAGTTTCTCGATCTTCATCTAAAACATTATACAGTCAAACCTTACTATAACAATCTCGTTTGTTCCGACATTTTTGACTGCTATGGTGAAGTGTTGTTATAAAGGACATATATTATACTATAACATAATAATTAGTTCCGAGAAACACTTTATAGTGAATAGTTGTTATATAGAGATACTGCTATAGAGAGGTCTGACTTTTATAGTGAATAGTTGTTATATAGAAATGCTGTTATAGAGATGTCTGACTGCATATACGTTTTGTGCTATGTGAAGTACAAATGGAGTTGTTGATGTATAGTGACATCGTTGTTCATTTAAGCAGATTTAAATGATTTCACCAGATTGAAGTATCTGGATATATCTGGGAATCATTTACATACTTTTGGATCATTTGATTACGGTATGTTGGTTTCAAGTTTTCTCTGCATTAGTTTAATAAGTCTGATTTCACTTCTTTGATTTATATTCGTCGATTGCTCTTCTGCAGACTGGTGCCATTTTAAAAACCTCCAAGAGCTCAGAGTTGGTAGTAATAACTTTGATGGAATGCTTCCCTCTTGTCTTGCAAACTTAACCTTTCTTCAAAGTCTCGATATCTCTAACAATCGGTTCACTGGAAATATTGCGTCTTCTCCACTTTCTAAACTCACATCTCTCGTATCTCTAAACATTTTGAATAACAACTTAGAAGTCCCGGTTTCCTTTGAGGCCTTTGCTAATCATTCTAGCCTTATAGAGGTATATACTGATGGAAATATCGGTGTTCCTGAAACTGAAAGTCGTGCTTGGGTTCCAATGTTCCAACTGGAAATCTTTTCCATGTCGAATTGTACTCACCTTCAAACGTTGCCTAGATTTCTTCACTACCAAAATCAGTTGACATTCCTTGATTTTTCATTGAACCATTTAAGAGGAAGTTTCCCGAATTGGCTATTCCAAAATAACACACAACTTACAGGATTGTCCCTGGGTGGTAATGCTTTCATTGGATCCTTCAACCTGCCTTTACATGCCCTACCTAGTGTCAAGTACATCGGTATATCAGAGAATCGATTAAGTGGGCGACTTCAAGAAAATATAAGTTCAGTGATTCCAAATCTCGTACTTCTGAAAATGAGCGGAAATTATCTCGAGGGACAAATACCTGCTAGCGTTTGGCAAATGAAACGTCTTGAAGCACTAGATTTGGCAAACAACCACTTTTCAGGAGAATTACCAACAGAAGTTGTCATTCCACCGTCAATGCAATATTTGCATTTGAATGGAAACAACTTCACAGGTGAAATTCCGAAATCACTTTCTTCCACTAATTTGGCAGTGCTCGAACTCAGCAACAATAGTTTGTCTGGCATGATTCCGCAGTGGATGGGTCAAATGTCAGGATTAGTCCTACTTGCCATGTCTCATAATCATCTTCGAGGTCCTATTCCCATAGAATTGTGCAATCTTGATCGTCTCAGGTTCTTAGACTTGTCAGAGAACCAGTTCTCCGGATTGGACCATCTTGTTTCAGCCACTTGGAACACCTTTTTCTCAACAAGAATCACCTGAGTGGAAACCTTACCCATGGATCGACGAACAACTCAGCTTTGCTCACTCTGGATCTCAGTGATAATAATATTGTAGGAAGCATTCCACAATGGATTGGCAACCTTTCTGCACTCAACATTCTTCTTCTTAAAAACAACAAATTTGAAGGTGAAATTCCAAACCACCTATGTCATCTACAAAGATTGAGAATGCTCGACTTGTCTCATAATCAGCTCACAGAATCAATTCCTAGCTGCTTGAGTAACATAAGTCAAGAGGTGACTTCTCAACAAATGTTTCGCTTACCAGCACTGAAAAGTTTTGCTTTTCAAAGTGTAGCATTTACGAGTGTATACACTATGTTTGATGCAGTAAGAATGAAGGTAGAGTTTACAACAAAGAGCTCTTCCCTTAATTATGAAGGCGGCCCCCTACTTTACATGTCTGGAATTGATCTTTCTTCAAATCACTTAAGCGGTGAAGTTCCCATTGAGCTTGGTAACTTAAGTGAGATACAGGTACTAAACTTTTCGCATAACAAGCTCGTTGGATCAATTCCAAAGACATTCTCCAATCTGCATGAAATAGGATGCATAGATCTCTCCTACAACAAGTTGAGTGGAAGAATTCCTGATGAGTTACTAGAGCTACATTCGTTGGCAGTCTTCAGCATAGCACACAACAATTTATCAGGTGCTGTACCCGAGCTTAAAGGTCAGTTCAGTACATTTGACAAAAGCAGCTATGAGGGCAATCCTTTTCTTTGCGGACCACCATTGCATATCAATTGCACCAGTGCTCAATTGGAACATCCGATTCAATCAAACGATGGAAACGAAGAAGAAGGAGAAGATGGATTCATAGATATGGGGATATTCTACATAAGCTTTTCAGTGGCTTTTCCAGTTTTTTTCATTGGGGTCATCACAACTCTTTGGGTAAATAGCAGTTGGCGAAATCGATGGTTTCACTTTGTAGAGAACCTTGTATTCTCATGTTACTATTTTCTGGTAGACAGAGTTACTGATATCTGTAGTAAGGTAACATCTTGACTATTATGTATATCCAAGAAATTGCAAAAATAAATATACTTGTGGAGTGAGTCTTCTGAACAAATTTACAGCACTTTTTTTTTGTTCAAAGAACCAGAAATCGCATTGGATTCCAATTAAATAATGTGTTTTTTTATTTAAAAAAAAAAAAAACAGTTCTTAGATTCTACCATGAATACAGGAATAATTACTTCCTCAATGTTACTCCAGGCTATACATTTGCTATGTAGTCAATTAATAGCATATTAATGAGGTTCCGCTGTGGTCTACCACAAATGATTCAGACACTAAAGCTTGGTTTGCTCGTGGGTCCATAATCCAGCATATTATGCTGGAACTTTCCGTGTTTCAGCTAAAACCGTGGCTATTTTTCAATGACTATGCAAATGCTGGCTACTTTTCGATTACCAATCCGAAAACTGCTAGCCCATGCTATTTTCACTTTGTTCGCACACCAGCCATAAATATGCAACCTAGTTCTTAGGGGAACCATTTGCATATCTGCAGATAAAAGCAATATGGAGCAATGGTTGGAATTGACTCTCCCTTTCCAGAAATTGACTGGAATGTCATGGTTGTTGGTGTCAAAAGCAAAGTAACGGCCAAGCGCCGAAAGCTCTCCGTTGACTGAACAGATAACATCTGATAATAAGTTTTTTTTAAATCAGTGACTTGCTAGCTAATAAGTAATCAGTGCTCTTGCAATCATACTGAGTCTTGATTGGAAATTTTCAAGTCTTCAACACTAACTTCTAGTCCAATATCCACATAAAAATTCAAACAACTAGTCTCCAAAATACACAATAATCAACAATCTTATTCACAAACCAATGCTGTCCTGAAATATCACTTTCACAAGAAATAGTCAAATTTTTGAACATAAGAGATGTCGTTACATCGTTACAACAACAGTACGTAGACCCATCATTGTTTACATTGATTTTCAAAATGAATCTATCGACAATTTAATGCGTTCAAACAAGACAGTAAAGTCTCTATAAGGGACGATTCAGTCGTTCATTAGGCTGATATTCCTTTTGTCCAAGTGGAAGTTAAACTTGCTGATGCAGCTAAACAGGGCGTCGTAGTAAACGTTGAACAAGGAACTTCATTTTGGTACGATTTTGAGGAGCTCAATATCAAACAGGAGAGTCTTATCAATTAATCCTTGGTTCCTCAGCACAAAATCCAGAGCTCTTTGTCCCTGTAAAAATATAAAAATGGAACTTTTTAAGAGAAAACGGATGTGTGTGCCGTAGAACACAGCTTTATAAGGAATTGAGATTACCGAAAATGTCGTTGGTCTTGGACCTTTCTTGTTGTAGTCATTATCAGGGTATCCCAGCTCCGGAGGAACTATGATCCTGCAATATCGCGAGGAGAAAATGAAACAGGAGAATACATCATGATATCATCCTCATTAGTCATTGCAAAGATAGTACTCCGCAATAAAGAAGCTATGTAGTAGAAGTGACAATGAGATGCAACATTGTTGTCAGGTGCCGTTCCTACAAACATGTGGATAAAATATAGCTAATCTTTTCAAAACCCTTAAATACAGAGGTGGATCCAGGATTCAAATGTAATGGGTTCAACTTTTAGGATTTGCAATATTTAACTCATTATACTATTAAAATTTATGGGTTCAGATCTAATATTTGTTGATACATTAGTAGGTTTTACATATATATCTATACTCTGCATGGAAAGTTATCATTTCAGATGAACCCGTAGACGTAAGACTACATCTGCCCCTGCCTAAATACGGTCTCAGTTGACTAAGATCAAATCCAGCATATTAAAAAGCACCAATTCAACCAAAAGAGTATTTTAGTAAAGAACAGAGGCATTTTGGGAGGCTGACTACAACCACATTGACCATACAAATAGGAGATCAACAAAACCCGTGAAGACTCAACTACCGTCCACTGAGGCACTGCTGCTAACTGTATTCAAGTCGAGCCCATATTAATGAGAACACAGAATCATTCAAGTCAGACTATTTATGTCTAATCCGACCAGTCATATCCTATTTTGAAGCGGCGAGAGGTGGATTTTCTCTTTTGCATTCGATACTCTTGGTCTTACAAGTGCAAAAAATCCAAAATTTAGCAAAACTTGACGTTACAAGAGTCCAAATCTTTTATTTAAGGATACAATGATCGGTAAACTAAAGTCAAATGGATCTGTTCTCAGTTAAATACAGCTATATTACCTTCTGATACCACCAACTGCCATGCCAGTAATAGCTTCCTCGAATGCCGGTATTACCTGAATATATGATAAACAGCAATGCTGTTGAAAACCTTTCTCACAGCTTTAAAAAGTGCCAGGAAAAAAATCAAGCATAACTGACAAAGTGTGTAGAATCGGTATAATTTGTTTATCCTAATATATGACATAATAACAGCATGAATGATGAATTAACACTTACTGATATAATGCAATTTCAGAACATGGTTTTTACACCAGAGATATTTTAGGCATATAACATTACTATTAAATCGCCCTGGACTGGAGAGCACCCATGTATGACTTCTTTAAGGGTAAATGCTTCATAATGTGCACAGGCAGGCAAAACACTTGCCATAGTAGTCGGGTTAGGACTTATCCCAGAGAATTCCAACATCTCAGTAAATAACAGCAATGCCTCCTTAAAGAATCCATTTTGTGTGAAGCCAGCGAGCATAGCATTCCAAAGCCCAATGCTTCACGCCCACTTTCAACCTGTCGACAATTGCAATACATGTCAACCAATGCACTAGCAACAAATGGATTCCCAATCATATCATCATTCTTCAAGACATAACAATGAATCTGCTTCCCAACATCCAGCAAAGCCAAATGAGAAGACGCAGGAAGAACCCTTGAAATCGTGAATCCATCAGGCTTTATCTCTTCTTGTATCATGAGACTAAAGTTGTCCAACGCCTCTTTAAGCTGGTCATTCTGTGAAAAAGAACTTATAATAGTATTCCACGAAACAATATCCCGGTTTGCAAACAATTCAAAAAACAGCTCTTGAGTCACCAACCCTTCCTAATTTGGTATACATAGATATCAAAGCATTGTTAGTAAATGTTTTCCTATCATCTATTCTCAAACTATACCCGTGAACTTGCTTGCCAAGCCTCAACCCATCAGTCCTAGGCAAATTACTACAAGCAAGCGCCACGCTCACCAACGTAAACGAACTAGCCTCGAATCCATCAGCCTAAAAGCCTCCAATGCTAACTCCCACTTCTCAAATTTACAAAGAGCATATATTAAAGAATTCCAAGAAACTTGATCTCCTTGGGTAATTCTATCAAACACTTTACAAACATCATTAACACTACCACCACATTGCCCAAGCAAATGGATAAGCGAATTTCCCACGGTGGACGATATCGTATCATACCCCAATTTAACAACAGAACCATGTATCTGTTTTCCAAGATTCAAGTCCTGAAGGCCGGTAGCAGCCTTCAGAACTGCAGGGAAAACAAAATTATCACCAAGATTGCATCTTTGAAGCAGATTAAGCGTACTTGGGATCGAAGAGTATCGATCCATGGAGCTGCAGAGGGTGTTTCTGAGGTGGGTTCTTGTTCAAATTTCTTGGAAATGAGGGTAGTTATAGGTGATGGAGTTGAAGATAGTTTTCTTGGTGGGTTTTGAGTAAATGATGGGGAAGGCTGTTGAAGAGGAAGAGAAAGAGGGGAAGTAGAGAGTGTACGTGTCCAAGAGGACATTGTTGGTAGTTATTACAGTTGGAAGTAATAGAACAATAGTGATAAGGTAGTTTTAAGTTTAACTGAAGAAATGATGTGCAGCAGTTTATGCACATAGTACAATACACAAAAATTTGATTCCAAAAAGAGAGGACATAGAAACAAACAAAAAAAGAAAAGAAAATAAAGGTGTGTTTTCGGTATTCTCCTAAGGCTGAATAGTCAAAAATTATCCAGCTTATTTTGTTTTATCATTCCGACCTTTTATCTTTACAAAGTTTCATTCAAACACCTAAACTAATTCAAATTACTCTTTTCGTCATAGAATTTGTTGGTAATACATACCTTATCATGTTATCCTTGGTAGAGGTGGTAAGATCTTTATTGTAGGGAACTTGTTGCTTCTGTCCCTTTCTTATGTCTCTCAAATCTTATTAACCATATAATAAGTGGAAGTTCTATCATGTTTCGTCGTCAAAGGGCATTATGGTACTTCTTCTTGGCTCTATTAATATTCGAAGAGACGTGTCATTCTGGTGCCCTAGCTTTACACGTGTTAATGCTAAAGCACTAAAACTCAATATTGTCTCCTTCTCTTCGTCCTCCTCTTCTGCTTCCGGCTTTTCTTTTTCTCCTCTTCTCTTTTGTTTGCTTGTTATCGGCTTTTCATTTTTCTTTTGGTATTTTTCTGTTTTTCTGGTGATATTATGAGTTTTAGAGCTTCAATCATCTTCTTTGTTTCTTCGGACATAATCTTTAACTAACGATTTCCTCTCGGTTTTCTTTTATTCTTTCAGACATGCTCTACAATTGTCTAATTGTTGCCGGAGATGACAGCCGGTGGCTACTGAAAAAGGAGAAGAAAACAGTCATATATAATATTATTTGTTTTGGTGAATTTTTTTTGTAATTTTTCTTTGTTTTTAGTAGTCATAATTTGTTAGGTATACGTTAATTTCCTATTATTTTGGTGGCATATATTTTTTAAGACATTTTGTTTGTTGGATTCATGCATGTAAATAATTTAGTTGTATTTTCTCATTCATGGTAGGTATTTGATCCTTAGTGCATCAGCTATTGAATATTCTTTACTTGTGTATATTTTGTCATTTCGGGATTTCTCTGTTTTTATGGTGATATTTTGAATTTTGGAGTTTCAATCATCTTCTCTGTTTCTTCGGATATAATCTTTAACTAAAGCCTTCCTTTTATTTTTCTTCTATTCTTTCAGACATGGTCTACAATTGTCTAATTTGTGCCGGAGATGACAGCCGGTGGCTACTGAAAATAGGAGAAGAAAACAGTCATATATAAGTCTATTTGTTTTGTGAGTTTTTTCTATCATTTTCCTTTGTTTGTTAGTAGTCACAATTTGTTGGGTATACGTTAGTATCCTATTCTTTTGATGGACATATATTTTTTTAAGATATTTTATTTATTGGATTTTCACATGCATGTCAATAGTTTAGTTATATTTTCTCATTCATAGTAGGTATTTGATCCTTAGTGCATCAGCTATTGAGATTCTTTACCTGCGTGCATTTTGTCCTTTGGAATTTCTCTATTTTTCTGGTGATATTTTGATTTTTAGAGCTTCAATCATCTTCTCTGTTTCTTCGGATATAATCTTTAACTAACACTTTTCTTTTGTTTTTCTTATATTCTTTCAGACATGCTCTACAAATGTCTAATTTGTGCCAGAGATGAAAGTCAGTTGCCACTGAAAAAAGGAGAAGAAAACAATCATATATAAGTCTATTTATTTTGTTGAGTTTTTCTGTAATTTTCCTTTGTTTGTTAGTAGTCACAATTTGTTGGGTATACGTTAGTTTCCTATTTTTTGATGGGCATATGTTTTTTTTGTAGAACATCTTATTTGTTGAATTTTCACATGCATGTCAATAATTTTATTGTATTTTCTCATTCATGGTGGGGATAATACATAACCCCCTTGAGGTTGTCCGACTTTACCAGATGTATCCTTATACTTTTGCGGGGGTCCTATAATCCACCTGACATTGTTTAAACTATAATAAATATCACCTTTTGTGATCAGTACCAGTTCCAGAAAAAGTAGTGTAATGCACACACCAACCATCTTTTTTCAGATCATTTTGTCTTTTTATTACTAATTTTATCAAATTTTACAACATTTCTTTTATTAAAATTTTCTTTTACTTTTCTTCTTTTCTTTTTTTTTTCATTTTCTTCTTCCTAATTAATATTGTTTCTCTCACCTGTAAACTTGAAGAATCCAGTGACTAAACCCAAAATCTCACTGAAGGAAAGAAAATCCAACCACCTCCAAGAAAGAAAATCATGAAAATCTGCCAGTGGAAAACAACCATATTTCATAAAAACCACCATCGTCAAAGAGAGACGATCAATGAAGCATCGTAGAAAAACTACCGAAAATAAACAGGTTTGAACGGAAAAACTTCACACTGTTATCCCTCCCCTTTCCTAACCCATTTATCTGCCTTTTATCTCTCAAAACCCATCATAAAATACCATAAAATCAGTGAAGAAATAACCATTAAATACAAAAAAAAAAACAGTAAATAAACTAATAGAGATTCGGCTATAAATATTTTTCCGGCGACTGATGTTCCTTCTTTTTCTCCTGTCAATCTCTCTCAAAACCCTCAATTTAGAAATCCTCAGTAAAAAAACAACCTTGGATTCACAATAAAGCACCCATTCAACACCAAATTTGAAACTCCACAAATTGAATACAACCTTTAGATTAGAACAGCTAGTTTTCTCCTTTAAATTCTTCCGTCTGAATGGTTTATTTTAGCTTTTATTAAAAAAAAAAAAAGAGATAAAGCAAATAAAATAGTCGATCCTCTAGCTTGATTGTGTCAGGAATTTGGAGAATGGAGGTTTGGACTCTTTGATGTATTATTGCATAGTGGAGGTTTAATTGAAGAAGAGAAAGAAGAAAGAAAAAGAACAAGAAAAAGCCAACGCAAAATAAAAATATAAAAATAAAAAAAATAATTAGATATGGGGCAGTTTTTTTGTTCTCACGCGCTATAATTGCGTGCAAAATTTTAAAGATACCACATCAGATCAAAAGGTTGTACTTATTGCAGTTTAAATAAAGACAAGCGGGTCGTAGGATCCTCATAAAGTATAAGGGTACATCTGGTAAAGTCGGACAACCTCAGGAGATTGATTATGTATTATCCCTTCATGGTAGGTATTTTATTCTAGTGCATAAGCTATTGAAGATTCTTTACCAACGTATATTTTGGTCTCTTAACTTTAGTAGCATGCAGGTGATTCGCTCCTCATAAATAAATGGTAATAGTATTTATTTCACACATGAGTAGTATGCAGCATATCTCAATTTTTGTAACGAATTGATGAAGACATGGCTGGAGGATTTATAGAGTTTTTCGAAGTTATACTTTAGTCCTAAAATTAGTTAGTAGTTTTTGCTTTTAACCCCGTAGTTAGCCTTTGCACATTTTACCTTTTTCCTTTAAATACTTAATGTACTGCTCTTTGGAGAGGTATCTGATGAATGAAAATCTAATATTTTTCTCTGTATTTTTCTTTCCTTCTTCTTTTGTATTTCTTGTTTCTTTTCCACGGCCTTTCTCATTTTGGAATCGCAACAATTGGTATCAGAGCCAATGTTTCTCAGCCCAGATTCTGCCGCGATGGTCGGACAATATTACTATCATTCGCCACAGTATCCATACGGCTTGATTTTAATAGTGTGACGTCGAATCCATATGCATATCACTACTACAATGAATATCTCAGTTTCCATCCAAATCCCTATGGCTTTGAGCGTATCTCAGCAGCCACGGGTGTTTCATGAGATCCTCTGCACAATGGTAGCAAGAAGAAAGCTTGGAGGAAGAAGCGCAAGTATGAACTGGGCCGCCAACCTGCTACTACTAGGTTATCTAGTAACCGAGTTCGTAGAACTACTCTTATCCAAAAAATCCCTACAAGCTTCAGAGAGTGGGAAAGGGAGCAACCGATCACAACAGAGCCCAACATAATCACTAGTGAGCAGGCTATTATTGCAGAGATCCTTTTGTTGTTGCGAGAGAGCATTCGTCGGTCGGAGCAATTTCGGAGTGATTGCGAAGCCTATCGTTGATGGAGTGAAACCTATTCGGATTCCCATAACGATGAAATCAGCAGAGATTCCACAACTTCATTGACTATGAGAAAGTCTGATTGTTTGCTCAAATCGAGCATTGAGGCATTGGACCAAGGTAACTACTGATTTAACATACATTCACACCTTTGAACCTGTTGTTTTTCCTTCTTCAGTGGTTTTGTTTGACTCACTCGACCACGAATTGGATTATGAAGAACCATTAGAAGTTGAGGACGAAGATGCGATGGTTTTGGGAAATAAAGGAGACCAAATGTTCGATAAAAGTCCTCAACGAGACGAAATTGATGGTGATCGACTTGGATCGGGAATAAGTAATGAGAAGGAGAGCAGTGTGAAAATTGGGGCTCTAGAATCTGAAGGTGTTGGAGATCAGGTGTTTGATAAGCGTCCTCAAAGAACTAGACAGATTTCTTTAGAAGTCTTAATCCGTGAAGTTAACGAAGAGAATGTTGGATCAATTTTTAGTAATAGTCTTGAGCCAGAAACTAAATTTTGTGGGAATACTAAACTATTGTTCAGTAATTATGAGACTCATTTGTTACACATTGATAGTGACAGTGGAGGTGAAGTACTAGCACATAAAGATGATGAAAACTTTGAAAGTAGTAGAGATTTCTCTGTTTACTTTGTCGGCATCCGTGAAATAGGAGAAAATTTTGGAGCCAATTCGTCGGAATCATATGAAAGTTCCACTATTGTTGATGAGATTGAGGATAACATGGCAGCTGAAAATTGTTCTGATTTTGGAGATAATGAGGTTGTAGTGGAAGCAATGAAAAAATTGAAGAAGTAAAGGAAGTAATTTTGGAGAAACCGGAGATAGTGTTGTCTCTGCTACAAATTAGTGGTATTATTAATGGATCTAGACAATCTAGTCTTGAGGAAACTGGGTTGTATTTGATTGAGGAGTACGAGAATTATACTTTACTTGAGCTAGGTCAGCCATTACATGTTTTGTGCGTGAAAACTAGTCATGATTCATTTACAGTTGTGGAAATTTCCTCGAGTGCTTTGTATTCCAAGTTTGGTATGGTTGCAGGTGTTTATCATTTTTCTAGAATTTCAAGCAATCTTGTGTTTCTTTTCTTCCGTCACATACTTTGTTTCGGGTCCGAAGGTTTTGGGAATATTTGTGGTTGGATAAGAGATGGTGGAACATCACTTAAATTCCCTATGCAGAGAAGGACAACTAAATTGTCCTACAAGTCCTTTCAAAAGGAGTTTTCTAGTGAAAATATATCATGGCTCTGACGGGTGACATCAGGTGTGGACTTTGCTGATGTTTGTTTCCCTGCTTTGGGAGATCCAAGAGCTGGTGTAATAGGTCCTAGTATGTGGAGAGTTGATTGCTGGTTATGGGATTATTTAGGAAGAAGTGGCCCTTATGGTTTTCTGGTTCCAATTTCTAGTAGTTCTGATAGTTCCTCCACTGCTGCTATAGTTGGTTCAATGTACCATCTTGTTATAAAAAAATTGCAAATGGCAGTAAGCTAGTAACAGCTGATGCCTTTCGACTTGACCACTACACTAATGGTCAGTTTCCAACAGTTAGCAAAGAATTTGATAAACACATCCTTAACACTATGTTTATGGGATCTAGAAATAGTTTAGAAGCCACAATAGCTCAAGCAAAGGTGTTGGCTAATAAAATTATTTTTGTTGGTGTTCTAATGGATTGCAGTCAGAAAAGTTGGATAGAACAGGATCAGTACCTGTTTGAACTTATGGAGAACCATTATGGAAAACGTGAGCACCCGCCGACAAATGAGGAAATCTATATTGTTTTGTCATTAGTCGTTTGTGCAGTAACTTTTTATCCTCTTCTGAAGTTTATGATCTTGATGCTTATAACTGATGATAATGGAGTAACAGGTACTCAGCCAAGTAGAATATATGCAGAGACATGGGAGTTGGAATTATTTTTATGTGTAAACAATTTGAAGGCTCAAATGCTCCTAGCTTCTTCTGGCAGGTTCCTCAGTATGCTTTAATAGGAGCTACATATATGTTCTTATGTGTCTCTTTATTGTGGTCCATCTCACAAATATAAGCCTGGATTAAGGCCATTGGAAATGCATTATCCATATCATTGTTAAGCTACTTGAGGGATGATACTTTATTATCAGTGAAGGAAGCGAGAGATTCCATGGTTGAGCAATGTAGTAAGAAGGGGGTGGGTAGACTTTTTCATGTTCCTAATTCATTTACTGTTTTGGAGTTCTTCTCTATTGAAATTGTATGGTGCAAAATGACATTTCTAGTACTGTCAAGGGAATCACTTTATCCAAGGTTATGGTCTCTTCAAAGTAATTTCGATCCCTTACCTAATCTTTGGTGATGCAAACTAGTTAAATCTGAGTCATATGCAAATAGGTATCCTAACGCACCTTAAAAATTATTAGGTGGCGACTCTTCTCTTTTAACCCTTCCTTAAAAGAGTTGTCACGTGGCGGCCTCCATAGCTCAATAAAGCAGTTTCTTTGCTTGTTCCTCCCAGATGTTCGGGTGTATACACCCTACTAGTTCGGGTCATGCCTTGTGCTGCACCTGTTTCCTCCATTTTCGCCTTTCCTTTCCTTCTTGCTTCCGCATCATAGTCCCAGGGGATAGCTTTAGGGTGATTAGAGGGGTTAGGTGCTACTGTCACGGTGAAGGGTGTGGTCACTTCCACCTCAAACGGAGTTGGCGCGGCTGAGGGCGTTGTTACTTTAACCTCAAACGGAATTGGTATGGCTATTTGAACCCCAATTGGTAACTGAATCTGCACTACAATAGGTGTGAGAGTGACTGGAGGTATTTTAAGTTCATCCCCTTCACGAATGAGTCCAATTGACCTTTCC